TAGACGATGAGTCACACCGAGGCTGTGGAAGGTTTTGAGGTGTCTAGACGATGAGTCACACCGAGGCTGTAGAAGGTTTTGGGGTGTATAGATGATGAGTCACACCGAGGCTGTGGAAGGTTTTGAGGTGTCTAGACGATGAGTAACACCGAGGCTGTGGACGGGTTCTGAGGTGTCTAGACGATGAGTCACACCGAGGCTGTAGAGGTTTTGAGGTGTATAGACGATGAGTCACACCGAGGCTGTAAAGGACAGGGCGGAGGGAGACTCCTCCTTCCCTTCTGCAGTCAGTTGAGTGGGGGAAGTAGATTGCGTGGAAGGTACTATTTCTTCAAAAATTGGTATAAACTGATCCAGTTTAGGTTTTGTCAGAGATTTATTTAAATAACTTTAACTTTAACATCTGATTTATTTTTAATTTGGGGGAACACTCCTTATAGGACTAGAAAAAATGGCATAGTCATTAAGAACACTGGCTGCTTTTCCAGAGGACCCTGGTTCGATTCCCAGAGCAGCTCACAACTGTCTGTAACTCCAGTTCTAGGGGATCCGATGTCCTCCTCTGGCCTTCGTGGACATCTGATGTGGGCGCTGGGAACCAAACTTCGGTCCTGTGCAAGAACAGCCAGTGCTCCTAACTGATGAGGGCGCTCTCCAACTAACACAGCTACTTTTTCAAAAAAGTATAACATACAGAAAAGTGGACAGATCCCTAATGCATGCCACAGCTTTTACAAGTAAACACACTATTGTAACCAGGACCTAAAGTTCTAAAGACTGTGTGTGTGTGTGTGTGTGTGTGTGTGTGTATACACACGCTTCACTGTGTCAGGTGTGCCTCAACAATTACTTCCCAAAGGCCCCTCTGTAACGTGGTTGCCCCTTGTCTGCTTTCTGACACCACAGATTGGCTTTGCTTCTCTCTTTTTCTAATTAATTTTTCCTGGACTGGTTTTGTTGGCCGATACGGAGTTTTCATAAATGAAATTATACCGTGTAGTGCATATATGCTCTTTCAGGCCTGACCTGCACTCATTGCCCATGAGGAAAGCCCCCATGTCCCCCAGACACCCAGCTTTGTGCTTTTTGAATTTTAAAGTGTTTAGTCCAGGGACAAGCCTCTGTGGCCATAGTTTATTCCAGTGCTTCTCTGACTCTCGGTTTCTGCTTTTGTTGTCTTCTGCCTTGGTGTCTTTTTCCTGGATTTCAGGAATTCTGTATGTGATTTGAGTATCACAGAAACACGTCTGTCCATGAAGGATCCTTCATGTGTACAGGGAGCATGTCTGTGTTGGATGCTCCTCATAACCTTCTCCACCCTTTGAACGTCTCTTTCACTGTCTGTGCAGGGCCATGGAGGCCAGAGGAGTCTTGAGCTACTGGTGTTTCTCAGGCACTGCCCACCCCCACCCCAAGAGAGAGCTAGCCTGGCCGGGAACTCACTGTGTAGGCTCCGGAGAGCTCCAGGGCCCCACACCTCAGAGCGGGGGTTGTTTGTTAGGATGAGTTCTGGGCAACAAACCCAGACCCACACTTTCTGACTGAGCTGTCTTCCCATGAAGTCCTCTGGTGGATACAGATTTTTAAATAGTTGGCTCCGTTTCTGAATTTAGGGTTGTTCCTTTGGTGTCCAATATAAAAATTTCCATTGTTTTCACCTTCTGTCCCTGTCGTTCTCTAAGGTGGAAAATCCTTCTACTTTTTCAGGTCCAGCAGAGTTTGGAAAAGATTTCTAAACTGGAGCAGGAAAAGGAACACTGGATGTTAGAGGCACAGTTAGCCAAAATCAGGCTGGAGAAAGAAAACCAGCGGCATGCAGACAGGCTGAGGAGTACGGGCAGTGCGCAGCTGCCTGGGCCGGCCCAGGAGAACGCCACCGTGTCCACTGCTCCCTGCCAGGAGGAGGCTGCCGCGAAGGCCCCGTCAGAGCCTGTGCAGAGTGCCAGTCTGGTGAGTGTCTTCCTGCTTGCCCTAGCCCACGGTTTATTTCAGTGCTAACTGATAAGACCCAGGCTGTTCCGTTCCTGTTCCTATAACAAAATGGCAGAAAGAGCCGGAGGCTGGGAAGTCCAAGAGCCGGTGACTTCCTGGTTCACTGCTGGCTGCCTTTCCAATCATGCTGCCCCATGTAGAAGGGGTGGACCAGCCTCCCTGATCTGTTTTGTAAATGTCCAGTAGGCCATCTCCAAGGGCCCCTCCTTCTAATTCCATCACGGGCGAATTTGGGAGAGACACAAACAAGCCCATCTGAATCACATGTCAGGTTCCCTGTACTTGAAATAGAGGTGGCTTGTCTCCTTCAGAAAGTAACTCCATTAAATTACAGAAGAGTTTACTGGATGGCCACGTGGCCAGAGCTGTGTGTCTGGAGAAGATGCGGTAAGTCAAATCTAGGATGATTCTGCTTCTCTTTAAAAACAGCTCCAAGATGGAGTTGTGTTTCCAGCCAATCACCAATACCTAACCTTCTAGTTACCTTGTTTTCCGGTCTTTGTTTGGAATTTTCTAGCCCACTCCCATCCTCTCTGCCCTGAGGACTGAACCCAGGGCCTTGCATAGCTAGGTGAGTGCTCTACCACTGAGCTAAGTTTCCAGCCCCACAAGTACCTAACTTTGCTAGAATGACCACTAACCCACTTTAAAAGAATTCCATAGCGTGTCCCAGAAAGTCAAAGCTCAGAATGTGCATGTAACATAGAACCCCTCGGACACACTCTCTTCTGTCCGGAGTCCCCGGGCAGACGTCTCACAGCCTCACATTCCCTGCCTTCTTTTTAACTGTTGTGACTCAGAAGGTAAAGAAACAGCCCTCTTGGCATTACAGAATTCATGATTATCTTTTATCAAGTTTTCTAGTTACAACACTCTGTCTGTAATTGAAAAAGAAAATAGAAAGTCAAGAAAAGGAGAAATCAGAGAGGGAAGGTGTCAGAATCAGCAGTCCGGGCAGGGTGTGGAGCCGAGGAGAGAGAGCTCTGATGCTCCACAGGATGCAGTGCTCAGGTGCACGCTGATGCTGCTGGCGCACTGATGCCACCACTGTCCTGGTGTGTCTCAGACTTAGCTGCAGCCAGTGGAGCGCACGCATGACAGGTATGTCAGCCTGTGGCTATGGGTGACAGGTGTACAGGTGTGGTTATAAACTCCAGAGCAGTGGTTCTCAACCTTCGTAATGCTGCAACCCTTTACATTTACATTGTAGTGACAGCCAACCACACAGTTATTTCATTGCTACTTCATAACTCTAATTTTACTACTGTCTGAGTTAGGGTTTCTATTGCTGTGAAGAGACACCATGACCACAGCAACTCTTATAAAGGAAAACCTTTAATTGGGGTGGCTCACCTATTCAGAGATTTAGTCCATTATCACCATGGTGCAACATGGTGGAATGCAGGTAGACATAGTGCTGGAGAAGGAGCTGAGAGTCCCACATCTCTTGATCTGCAGGCAGCAGGAAAAGAATGCCACACTTGGCATGGCTTGCTCTTCTGAGACCTTAAAGCCCATCCCCTAGTGACACACTTCATCCGACAATGCCACACCTACTCCATCAAGGTCACACCTCCTAATAGTGCCACTCTCTATGAGTCTGTGAGGGCCATGTTCTTTTAAACCACTGTCATGAATTGTAATGTAAATATCTGATATTGACCCCCAAAGTTTGAGATATACTGCTTTAGAGGACCACCTTCGTGTTTTTTAGTAAATGTTAGTATTTAGGATAAAGTGTTATAATGTCAGTGGCTTAATTTATTTTCATTACATTTTATTTATCATGTGGAGTTGTTCAGAGTGAGAGAGGGTAAACTGCGGCTTTAACAAGGCGACTCCACATAGTTTAGTAGTTAAAGGGGTTTATTTTGGGGTAACTTAGAGCCAGTAAGGGGTTGGTTACAGGATCTGGGAGAGGTGAGGTGCAGTCCAGCGTGGTTCTCTGGAGAACTCTGACTTGGTCTGCAGTCCAGCATCCAGGATCACGAGGAACCAAGAGGACCAGCACGTGCAGATCTCAGGTTTTAAGGGCTCCCATCTTGGCCACGCCCCAGGGGCAGGACATAGGTAGGCGTGGCAGTTATGGACTGCTTCACTAGGGACGGTGCTTCAAGGTCAAAGCTGGAACAGCTACCCACTACAAGAGGGGAGCGGAAGTCATAGACAAGAGGTTTTCACCTTCTACCATGTGGGACTTGGCAATCAAAGTCAGGTCCTCAGGCCTGGTGCCAAGTGCCTTTACCCACTGAGCCGTCTTGCTGGCCCTGCAGCTTTCTTTTAAATTGTTTAGAAAAAAACTCATTCATATAAAATGGTAAAGTAAGTGCAGCATACTTTTACTGAACTAAATAGTAGATGTGTGGATGAGACACCCAACAAATACCAGAGTTTAAAATCTGTCCAAGGATAGTTTGACTGTGAGGCAGCCCTAGTCACCCTTGAGTTACTGAAGGAACCACTTCTAGAGGTAGCCTCATCAGTGGGCCAGACTGTTCTCCACTGTCTGACTGTTCCCCACTGTCTGACTGTTCCCCTCTGTCTGACTGTTCCCCTCTGTCTGACTGTTCCCCACCATCTGACTGTTCCCCACTGTCTGACTGTTCTCCACCATCTGACTGTTCCCCACCGTCTGTTCCCCACCGTCTGACTGTTCCCCACTGTCTGACTGT